GCTGTTGTACATAGGGTCGCTATGAGTCGCAGGTGACTCGACGGCACATAACAACAACAACAATGTATTTTTTTAGTGTTCCCAAGCCTCATGAAGGATTTTAAAAAACTATAGAAAGTATTTTTTAAAGAATCCTTTTAGACACATTTAAAGATATTTTACGTACATATTATTTGTAGGATATTGTATTATACATTGCTTCAGGTCAAACCAACCCAAAACCTAATGTTTTTGAACAACTATTTTTGTTTCTCAGGATTCTGTGGGTGAGCAGGGGGTTCTGCTGGGTTGCCTTTTGCTCCAGTGGGGTCTCCCGGAGTCTGACATGGAGCTGTCTTCAGCACCTCAAATGAGCGGCTGTGCTGGTTTAGGAAGCTGCCTGGGTCTCTTTCTAGCAGCTCTACCACCACCACCACCACCACCACCACTACCACCACCACCTCCTCATCACTTCCTCACCATCACCTTCACTACCACCCCCCACCATCACCTCCATCACCACTTCCACCAGCACTACCATCCCCTTTACCATCATGCTGTCACCTCCACCACATCTGCCTTATCTATCACCATCCCCACCATCACTTCCGTCATGTTTCTGGTTGTTAAAAATGAAGGTCTTTCAGCTTTCGTTTATTTACTTGGTCGTTAGATACCATCAAGTCTACGAATACTGATCTGAATCCTGTCCTATCTTATGCCATCCTCACAGTCTGACAGACTTGAGCCCATTGCCACAGTCACTGTGTTGTCCCATTTGGTCAAGAGTCTTCCTCTCTTTCACTGTCCCCACCACCACCACCTTTCCAAGCATTATGTCCCTCTCCAATGAACACCCTCTGCTTGCAACACGCCCAAAGCAGGTGAGGCAAAGTTTATCATCTTTGCTTCCACAGAACACTCTGGCTGCACCCTCTCCAAGGAGTATCATGTTTGTTCTTTTGGAAGTCCATGGAATTTTCAGCACTCTTCTCCAAAGCCACAGTTCAAAGGCATCAATTCTTCCTCTGCCATCCTTATTCACTGTCCAGCTCTCAGCAGCATAGAAAGTGATTAAGGCTACCTTAGGTCTCAAACTAACATCATTGCCCCTCAATAATTTGGAGAGGTCCCTGATTGTGGACTATCCCCCTGCAATATGCCTCCTGATCTCCTGACTGCTAGTCCCAAGTGTACTGATTGTGGACCCAAGTAAGATAAAGTCTTTGACAGTTTCAATTTCTTCTCCATCCATCATGATTTTGCCAATAAGGGCCAGTGTTAAGGATTTTCATTTTCTTGACATTGAGATGCACTCCATGTTGATCTTCTGCAGCAAGTTCTTCAAGTCCTTCTTACTTTCAGCAAGCAAGGCTGTGTCATCTGCGTAACACAGGTCATTGATGAGTCTCCTCCAATTCTGATGC